AAAAAATTCACTAAAACTGTTGGGACGTCATGTTATTTATGAGTTACAACTGTAAGCTCCTGGAGGACAGGCTGTTTCCTTTTTGTCTTTGTATGCACAGCGTCTGCAACCCTGGGGGGTTATTTTGATTGACTGTAGTTGTTAGCAACTTTTGTACAGAATAGATGCTTAATAAAAGAAAATTTTGTTTTTGGTAAATTGAGCTACAGTTTACCCTCAGTGACCTAATTGCCCCTTTCTTTCCCCTTTCCTCTCCTAATTGTCTCTCCTATTCACACTACCAAAATCTGCTTTGGAAGGTGGATGGGGCAAAAGATATGGCATCAGTCAATTACAACTCACGCTGAACTTAGGACAATGAGTTACTCTCTCTTGGGGTATTTATACTATATTCCTATCTCAAGGTTGAAAAAGAAGCTTTGTCTCAAAAGGAATAACAAACCTCAGAGAGGAAAGGTAGAAGTGGAGGGGGGTTAACAATAGGGGAATGAAGAACATCTCTTCAGTACTATTTACATCAAACTCTGTAGATTTATTAACTACTTGAACCACACTTAAGGCCTTGATGCTGCTACTGTCAACAAGCATCTCATTTTCGACCATTCTATTTCCAGGGCTTTCATTAGATAGGCAGTTGTCTGGATAATATTGTTAGATGCTGGTAGAGCTTTATAGAATGGTTGAAATAAATTCTCTGCAAGTCCAATTTGCTGGCAATTCTTTGCCTTTCCTTTTCTTACATTACCTTACCTGCAAAATGGGGAGGATAATCTTTCTATTCCCAGTTCCCCAGGACTCTAGTGAGGATTATATGAGATAATGTACATAAAGTACTTCCAAAATCTACATAAACATCAGCTTTTATTACAATCCAAAGCTGCTGTCAACTTTTAGACCATCTCACAATTCATTAGCATTAGGACCAAACAAGAAAAATGGGACAAAAAGTAAAACTCAAAAATAAAAATAAAACAACTCTGTTCTTCCACAGGAAGATGGGTCTATTCTTTCCAGAAATAAGAGCTTCTTTCTAAAAAAGTCTACATCATCCGATAGGATAGAAAACCTCCTCAGGAGACAGGGAACCTGGCTGGGACTATGTTTTTTCAATTCTTTGTATCTTCAGTGCTTAGCACAATGTTAAACACACAGCAAACTTTTGTTACTTGTCAACTGTCTGACTGACCTATTAGTGGAAATGGAAAAGATACAGGATTTCCAGCCTGAATTCAAACTCTGCTACATACTACCTGTATGACCCTGGACAAGTCACTTCTCCTCTTTGTTTCCTCATCAGGAAAATGAGGGGGGCTAGACTAAGATGACATGTGAGGTCCCTTCCAGTTCTAAATCTTTCTAATCTAAATTAATCTAATTTTTCATCTAAATCTAAGTTTCCTGCCCATTTACCTCTTCATTCTAATCACATCAATCTCATAAAACCAATGTTTCTCCAGTTCTGTCAGGTTTTCATACACTTAAAACTTAATTTCATTCTTTCAGGGGCCTATATCTTCATCTATGGGTACTTACTCCCACTAAGAATGATCTCTATAGACTGAACAAATGGTCTTTGAAAGTTGCTGTAGCCAAAAAATTCATCATCCTTCTCCACCCTGATGAGTCTGAACTTAGTAAGGCTGGGTCTAGGACAAGAGGCATGCTGTCCATCATTTGCTTGTACTTGAAGTCTTTCCAGGTTGGAATGACTTGCTAGAGGTACTCTTCTGCTGGCATAGCCTTCAAGAAAGAAGGGTCATTTCCATACCACAATGAGGCACCAGAGGAGGACTTCAGTGGAGGTCAAACTTACATTATTATTTTAAATACCCTTTTGCCAAAATGTTTTGCAAAATCCACACTATAACTGTCAGGATGCAATGCTCAAACTAGTAGAGATAAGATTATATAGTACAGATAATGCTGTACTTGGAATCCAAAGAGCTTCAAAATCTGGCTCCCCTACCATTTCTGTGATGTCAAGCAAATCATTTCCCTCCTCTGTGATCTTAGCAAAGTCATTTTCCCTCCTTGTGCCTCTACTTCCTCATCTATAAAATGAAGGTGTTGAATAAGATCAGTTGTTCTTAACCTGTTACTTTGCTTTAAAAAAAACATTGACAATTGGTTTTCTTTATAATCCTCCATATTTTGTTTTACGCATTATTCTGAAAAGGGGTCCATAGTTTCCACAAACTGCCAAAGGGATGCACGACACAAAATAAAGGCAGCTTTGGGGGTAGGGTGTGGGTCAGTGACTAGAGTACTGAATCAGAAAGATCTGATTTCAAATCTGACCTCAGACACCTACCAGAGGTATGTCCTGAGTCACTTAATGGCTGTCTGCCTCAGTTTCCTCATTTGCAAAATGGGGATAATGATAGCACCAAACTCCCAGCATTGTGAGGAACAAATAAGATTATATTTGTAAAGAGCTTTATAAAATACTTTAAAGTGCTACATAAATGCTAGCTATAAACAAGGTTAAGAACTTCTGAACTAGATAATTACTTGCATTTATATAGCACTTCAACTACTGGCATGTAATACAATATTATCATCCTCATTTTACAAACTGAGTCATCACTAAGAGCTTTTCTAGCTCTAAAATCCTATAATTCCTATGTATAGAGCATTTTCAACTGAGAGTTTCTTGACCTTCAAATGGGGAAGTGTATTTCAGGGTTTCAACCAAGAAGGTAACATGATTTGATTCCATTGTCAAACCAGAAAAAAAAAACTGCAAGAAAATACTCTCCATTGTCTTGCTCCCTAAAGGTTAAGTATTTTGGTCAAAAGTCACATTGTGTTACTACCCTTTCCATATAGCCAAGACAATTAAGTGAACCCCCACAGAGACTCATTTCTAGCAATAGGGCAGCCTATGACAGTGAGGAAATGAGGTGGGAGAGAAAGAAGGCAGTGAGAGGAAGGGGGAAAGAAACCAAGAGTACCATAACTTAAAAATTTTTTAAAGAAAATTAATTTCATCCTGCCATTGATATAGATTGTGTAAACTAAATAGAAACAAGCATGAGCATTCATTTCCGGAGGGCATTCTCTTGAATAAAGTATGTCATCCAACTGCTAATAAAAATGCAAATATACAGTCCTATTATTAATTTTTAAAATATCTTTCTTCCCCTTTCCACTCCCTCATTCTGCATAGAGATCAGTCCATGGCTGGCATCTAACAGTAAACTGCACAGGAAAAGAAAACAAAAAATTAGCCCAGATCCTAGTAGGCTGATGCTAGTAACAAGGACACTAAAAATTCACGTTTGTAAAGATACTACTTTTGTTAAATTGGCTTTAAAAATCTAATTTTTTCTACAGGCCCTCTACATCTTTTTAAGTCAATTATATTTAGGCTTGGTCCTATAAAATTCTATCCTTGGCCTCTAGCTAACATCCATAAATACTGCTATCCTTTAAAAAAGAAAAAGGAAAAGGAAAAATATATATTGTATTCAGTACAAAAGAGGCCATTAGCCCACCCCGAATAAGTTAAGCACATTCATGCAGGCCATGATGACACAAGATTATTCTCCAAAACCTTAAGGATCTCATTAGTCCTCACTTTGGAGGGTAAGTGTAAGATCCTAGAATCCATGCAAAACATTTCTGCAGGGAGCCTCAAAGATCTGAAGAATGGTCACATTCCTTCCCTTTAATCCGAAATCCTTTAAGTTGAATGTCAAATTCATGTCACCCTTGTTTCCAGAGAAATGGGACAATCACATATATTATAATCTTGCTTCTATTGAGGGTGGAGTGTTCTAACTCCGCTTCACCCACCTGCCTCTATAAAAAGAGACGTTTACTACACGGGGGGGGGGGGGGGGAGGCACCTAAAAAGGAAGGATGCCATCAACAGTCTTCAACCTGGTCCCACTAACAAAGAAGCCCTTCCAGCAAGGAGCCAATTTTTATGAGAAAGTCATGACATTAACCAAAACCACAGTTTATGAGGTGTGGCTAATAAAGTAATGTGACCGATTTTCTTGTGTGGCCCAGAAACTCTGAATGCAGTTTCAAAAGAGAAGCTCCAAAAATGTTTCGAACAATGGCAGAGTGGATGGAATAAGCCATATACCTCCTAAGGGGACTACTTTGAAGGACAACACTCATTTGGTTGTAAAAGTTTTGATGTGATTGTTTAAAAAAAAATTAACACCCAGCTATAACTTTATAGTCACAATACTCAATGTAACCTGGAAAGATTCCTAGGAAATCCAGGAATAGGGCAAAAATGAGGTAGGAGCCCTCCCAGCAAACACTAGCAAGAGTGAGATTTAAAAGTCTTTCGTTTCAAAACCTGGCTTGGGTAGATCACTACCTCAAGGATCAGGATCAGAGCGGAAAGAAAGAAAGATAACACCAGGATTGAAGTTCCTACCCTCAATGCTCCTCCTGATCAACGGCAATCACGGATGGGGAGTATTCAGTTGGGGGTTAAGAGGAAGGCTGGAGGTAGGGACACCTTTTTCCCTGTCAGCAGGTTTGGAAACTAGGAAATGAAGTTCCTGCCACATGCGTGGACTTCCAGGGACCCTGGAGACCCTTCCCCACCCTCCTCAGGAAGGGAAGAGGGCTCGCTCACCAGCAGTTGCACCCATATGGGAAATGAGTCCGAAACCGAGACACCCTTTTTCCAGCCCTGAGTCCAGTCCTGTCTGGTCACGTCCCTCCCAGGAAGCAGAGGTGGGACCCTCAACCCCATACAGGAGCCCGATCCAAAAGGGGAGGTGAGGGTCCCAAGAACCCTGGCCAATCTCACCCTGCCCCTCACGTTCCTCCGGGTTCCAGGCGCGCCAGGCGCAGTGTGGGGAGGGAGTGTGGGGAAGCTCACCTGGCGGGGGAGTGAAACTCTTCCCGACTGACCCCTAACTGTCCCTGACGAGTCCCACAGCTGCACTCCCAGCCACGCGTTCCCCCTCGAGCCTAAAGCGCACACACAGCCCACCGCCAGCTGCAGCCCCAGCACCAACTTCACTCACCGTCCGGGCTCCCGCTCCTGACTGCCTCCGGCCCCTCCTCGACTCGACTCCCGCTCCCGCTCCTGCTGCTCCTGCTCCAGCAGCCAAGCTTGTCGCGATCCAGAGCAGGAGCCCAGCACCGTGAGGGGAGTGGGGGCAGGGCAAAGAGGAGCCCCGCCCCTCTCAGAAGGAGGAGGTACAGACGGGGTGGGGTGGAGCGAGCCGGCCGGGGACTGGCGGCCCCTGCTCCAGAGAAGCACTGGGGGCAAGCAGTCTAGACACGGGTTGACGTTTTCGTCCGGGCTGGAAAGTTGGAGCGTCCGGCCCCTTCCCCTAATACTTTCCCCACCCCTCTGGAAAGGGCCTCCGGGTCTTTGCTACGAGCCGCCCCCACCCAACCCCAGGCACACACTAATCTCCTCCCACCTTTTCACACTCCACCCAGTCCCTGGCCCTGAGCGGGAGTTCATTCGACCACTAACCCCTCCTCCCCCTGACATCGAATTCCCATTGCTCTTCCCTAGAATGGAATGTCTTTCCCACCTTCCCTGCCAATCCCTACCAATCATCTTGAAGACCTCGTTCAAAAGTCACCATTTCTGGGAAGCATTCCCAAATGACCACTTGTGAGGTATGTTACGTTGGAGATTCCTTTGAGTATGGGCCGAACTAGAGGGAGTCTGAGGTCCCTTCCACCTCTCCAGAGCTCTGATTCTGATTAAAGATGCCTCACTGACCTTTTGGGTCTCTGCATTTAGTATTCAATTTATGTCTCGAAGAATTGGACACGACTGAAAAACGACTGAGTAACATAACCAGGTGCTGTTTGACATTTCTGCCCTTTTGTATACATTTTTCATCCCAACCACGAAGTTAAGGACCAGAACATCTTTTTTCCCCTATCAAATCCAATCAACTTATATTTTGTGGTAGATAAAAAGAATCCTAAGACGAGGGCCTTCTTCCCTGCCCTCATAAAGTTGACAAAGAAGTTGGAGAGATATAAGGACAAGTTCTCTATCCTGGGAGTTTTCAAGCAGAGGCTGAAGCACCCAAAGTACATTTATTAAGCACCTAGATTCTGTGCTACCTACTTAGTGTAGATATAAAGACAAAAAGGAAGCAATCCTTGACCTCAGGGAGGAACAACCTCATGGGAAACAATAGGTACAACAACAGTGTTGTTATTTAGTAGTTGTCATGACCGACTCTTTTACTCCATACTTGTCCACAGGGTTTTCTTGGCAAAGATGCAATTTCCTTCTCCAGTGGGTTAAGGGAAAAAAGAGGTTAAATGGCTTGCCCACAGTCACACAACTAGCAAGTGTCTGAGGTCAAATTTGAACTTGGGTCTTCCTGACTCCAGGCCCAATGCTCTATCTATTGAGCCACCTAGCTGTCTCCAGGTGCAAATATAAGTACAAAATGTTAGTTAAGTAATTTTCGCAAAATAAATACAAGGTGATTTTGGTGAAGGTGGGCTATAGTAGCAAGAAGGATCAAAAAAACAGTATCTGGTGGTGCTTAAGCATAGTCTAACTTTGAAAGAAATGAGGGATGCTAAGAGGTGGATATAAGGAAGGAGTGAATTCCAGGCATGGGGGGCAGCCAATGCAACTGCATGAAGTTGTTTGTAGTAGTAGTGGTGGTGTTGATGGTGGTGGTAGTGGTATATGGTATTTTAAGCTATAAGTGCTCTACCTACATTAACTCATTTGATCCTCAAATCAATCCTATGAGGCATTTCTATAACCCCCATTTTACTGATGAGGAAACTGAAAGGTTAAATAACTTTGCCCAGGTTCACATAGCTAATAAGGATCTGAAGCATAGACTTAATTAAATTCCGGAAGACCTGAGTGGAGGTCCAGGAATGGCTAGCTGTATGAGGAACAAGAAAGTCAGTTTGACTGGACTAAAGAATGCATGAAGAGGAATATTATATAAGACTAGGAAGATAGGTTGCTAGCAGGTTGTAAAGGGCTTTCAATGATAAACAGAGGAGTTTGCATTTGATAATTGATAATAGGGAACCACTGAGATTTGTTGAGTAGGAGAGTAACCATGGTCAGATCTATGTTTTAGGGAAAATCACTTTGGCAGATATGTGAAGAATAGATTAGGAGAAACTTCAGCTGCTATCTAGTCTTACCTATTCTGAAAAGGAACTCCCACCATAAAAGGGAGGCAGGGAGACCAATTTGGTAGTTACTTCAGTGGTCTATGTCAAGAGGTAGATGACCACTTGTTAAGGATGTTGGGGAAAGGGTTCACAATTTTAGTAGGGGTTGTCCAAATAGATGAGCTCTAAGGTCCTCTCTAAGATTCCTCTATGATTCTAAATAAGTTAGGAGGTTATTTCTTCCTAGAGGTCCAGAAGTAAGATGATGAGATGGTTTGAGTGGGAATGAAAAGGAGGGAATGGATGAGTTATATCTTGCATGAGAGAGATAAGTGAGTGATTGGATGTGAGGGAGAAGAAAGAACCCAAGATGACCCTAATGTTTCAAACTGAAGAGCTTGGTTTAGACATATTTAGTTTTACTTGAAAGTAGGACATTAAAGTGGAAATATCCAGCAGTGTTGGAAGTAAAGGACTAGAGTGAAAGAAAGAGGTCAGGAATAGAAATAGAGATGTGGGAATCACAGCATCCTAGGCTATAAAGAGCAATTAATGAGCAGATACTATTTATACAACTGTATTTTATACTCCGGATGTAATGATAATATTGTATTTGTGTGCTTTGAGGTATAATTATATATTCATACCTATTAGGAACATCTAATTTTATTTCCATGCATGTGTACAGTGACGCAGTGATAGGAGGAACTGGCAGAGATGGGGAGAGTATCATGTTAAAGAGCTACAATGATAGTCATTGATTCTTTCCTAGAAAAATTCCCAGAAAAATAACAGAGCCAGTATAGTACACAGTTTCTTTTTAAGGAAAATTTCTTGACATAACTAACGCATGCACAGACTTAAAAGGTTGCAGAATCCCAAAGTTTTAAGGGACTTTGGAGTTCGTTTTTCATTCCCGGAATCCCAAGGCTGAAAGATACTAGTCCGTCTAGTCTAATCCATGTCTGAATGAGAATCTCCTAGCTTTTGTTGAAAGAATCCCCAGTGAAATTTATGGGACATTCCACTTCCTTTAGAAGCTTTGGGATCACTTTAGTTGTAAGGAATTTTTTTTTATTACATTAAACATAAATCTACCTCTTTATAGCTTCTATCTACTGGTACTAGTCATACCCCTGCCCAGATACATATATTAAGACCAGTTAAAGAATACACTGTCCCATCCACCTCTACCACCCTCCTAAACTACCACCAATCCTAGTATTTTCCTGGGCATTTCCATTCACATACTGAACTCACCTCACTGGAGTCTGAAATAATTAGCAACAAAAGCCAATCTGGTTTTATATTTAATTGTACGTTCAAGTGGAATAGATTAAAGAACTCACCCAAGGTTACATAAGTCATCAGTGGCAAAGCAGAGGTAAAGCATCTATAACTACTGTTATGCCTGAGAATGACTACAATCACTAATAAGCAAAGCAAGGATTAACAGTTAGTTTTGGATGAACCAGGTGCTGATTGACCAAGTGGTAAATGGTTTGTATTCTCAATCTCTTCTCTTCTTGGAAGTTTTTGTAGCACTTTCACTGTAGGTAAACAGAGTAAGTAAAAGTAGATAAAACTTGAGCCATACTAGGAGAGAAGGGAATAAGCATTTATATAGCACCTAATGTGTGCCAGGCACTGTGCTTAGTGCTTTTTACAAGTATCTCATTTGATTCTTGTGAGGTAGGTGCTATTATTACCCCCATTTTGTGATTAGGAAAACTTAGGCAAATGGAGGCTAAGTGTCTTGCCCAGAGTCGCACAGCTACTAAGTATGTGAGGTTGGATTTAATCTCAGGTCAATTTAATCTCAGGTTTCCCTGATTCCAAGCTCAGTGCTCTACCAACTTAGTAATATCAGAGAAAGAACTGGAAGAGAATCTTGATCACTCCCTCATTTTACACATTCACTTGACCTCTAAGGTCTCTTCTGGAGAGATTAAGTAAACTGCTCAGGATTGTACAGGTAGTCAATAGGAGGAAGATCTGATCTAGGTCCCCTGGCACCAAATCTAGCATTAGATCATAAACATTTTTTAAAGAACCTACTATGTGGCAGGCACAATGGTAAGTACCAGGGATACAAAGAAAGGTAAAAGAGTACATGGTCTCAAGTGAGAAGATGGAAAAGGAGCAGAGAATACCGAAGAAGTTACTTTGTAGTGGAAGGAATGGCAGTATTAGGAAGAGAGGAAGACGAAGTTGGAAATCTTGGAGTAGAACAAGTTAGTCAATAGAATAAGTGGATGTAGGACCTTGAATTATGGGCTAAAGAATTTATATTCTTTACACAATAAACCACAGGAAATCTTTGTCCTGAGCAGGACTATCATACATCTTAAAAAAAAAAAGGAAAACTATCTGGCAGCTTTAGTATTTTCTGGCCTGACACAGGGAGAGCCTGTTGGAAGTCAGGAAACCATCCAGAAGGTTATTGTGGTAATAGAGTAGAGGATCAAGATGAGGTCTTGAACAGGAAACAGAAAGGAAGAGACATGTTCAATGTTCAAGAGACATTGCAGAGGAGTTATCATCACTCCATGATGAATTGGACATGGAAAGCATGAGAAAGAAAGGAGTTTTAAAAAAAAAAACTCCTAATTTATGAGTTTGGGGAATAGGGAATTGGTTGGTATCATTGACAGTGATGGAAAAATTGTCTTAGAAATCCCAATAAAGACTTAAAAGTAGAGACTAAAAATTATGCCTTATTGATTTAAAGTAATTAATGTAAATAGTAAATGAGTTTACTTGCTTGTATTTATGTTAAATATTAAGCTTTTAATAAAATATTCAAATTTAAAAGGAAAAGTAGTATTAAAGAATTTCCTGAGGCTCGGTAAAGTTAAGTGACCTACCCAGGGTCACACAGCTAATAAATGTCAAAAGCAGAATCAGAATTCAAATCTTCATAATTCTAGGTCTAGTGTGTTAATCACTATATGAGAAGTTCTCAAACTTTTTTTGTCTCAGGACCCCTTTAAAAATTATTGACGCCTCCCTGTCCCCCTTCCATTTTTGTTTATGTAGGTGATGTTTATCGATATTTACCATGTTAAAAATTAAAACATCTTAGTATTATTATGAAATTAATTTTGACCTAATGGATCCCTTGAGTCTCAGGGACTCCTTTCTCTGGACCACAT